CCTCCCATCCCCGCCACGCAGCCAAAGAAAATCCGGCCTCGGCCCCGCGCTGACGCGGAGCGGCGTTTTCCCGGGGGGCCGCAGCCCCTCAGCTCCCCCCCGAGCGTGAGACGAATGTACGGCAGCGCCAGGCCCGGGGGCTCCTCCTGGCCCCACCACTCCCCCCCGCCCCACGGACGGCGAAGCCTCGGTGTCCCTCACCGCGACCTCCGGACCCCTTTCCCCGCTGCTCCGCGCAGGGTTCGGCGGACCCCCGCCTCCAGCAGCTCCTCCAGGGCCCTTTGTTTCAGGCCACTTAATTGGTACAGATTGTTCCGCTGTTTTTCTTTTTTTGCCCCTTTCCATTGTTACTCATTTTCATCCGATCGATACCCTCGGGCATGTGCGGTTTTCCCCCGGTCTTTTATTTTTTTGGTTTGAAGCAACTCGAAGGCAAATTGTTGGAGGGAATGTCGCCCCGCCGAAGTCAGAGCTGTGAGGATTTGTTTTCTTTGGTTTCGGTTTATTTCCCTGATAAAGCGGCCTCTAAAAATACGCGATGGGAAAAATAATAAAAAAATAAAAATAGAGAGAGAGAGAGAAAATAAGAAAAAAAAAATAAGAAAAGCAAAAGGACCATACTGTGGTTTAATAGCTGGGTTTGCCTTCTGTTTGGGTCTCCCAATGGAAGCTGAGGAAAACGCACCTCCACTTTCCAATCTCTTATGGGCTCGGTTTGTTTAATTGATTAATAGTTCGCACTGGCAATTAAAAAAAGGAAAAAGGAATTCAGACGGCGGCAGACCGGGGAGCTGTACGGCTAGTTATGCAAGCTGGACTGTAATGTGATATTATATGAAGTATTATGCATGCCAAGCTTATTTTTTTCCTTTAATAACTGTTTTGTTTTCCCCTCTCTCCGCACTGCTAAAATGAATTTCGGATCCCGTATTGTTTTCCAAAAGTTGGATTTTCTTTTTCTTTTCCGAATATTAAGGCAAAAATGACCTTGCAAAACTCAGCCTTGACGGAAAATCAGGCTTTGATCCTATGTTTTAGGGCACAATCAGCAGTAATGTAAGCGGGCAACACTCCGGGTCCCCGTGAGAGCAGCCGGGTCTGGGCTCCGCTGGGGTCTGTACGTGCGATCCGCTCCCCAGAGAAGGAATGGCGATCCGATTCTCACTGTTCCCTCCGCTTTGCATTGTATTGGGGGCGATCTCACGCTTTCTTGTTGTGAAATCGATCGGCGGAGCTTCGGCTTTGATACGAAACCCGAGAAGGGTCAGGGGCGGATTACAACCTCTCCACCGCTACTTTTTTTTTTTTTTTTTTTTGGCTTGTAACACGGCTCTGGACATCAGCACTGTTGAAGTAGGGACGCTAAAAGCCTCAAAAGCAGAATGAAGACAAATGTAATAAAAGTTAAAGCATACTGCGGATTCCTGCCGGGATGCTCGCTCCGACCTGAGCCCCGTTTTTGGGACCTATTTCTCCACTGCTCTGAAATCCTTCGTCTGATTCCGGGAGAGCTTCGCCACGCTGTTTTCTTTGCATATCTGTGAAAAACTTGGGGTGAAATGTCCCCAAAGCAGTGATGTGACCGCGAGGAGCGGAGGAGGACGGGCGCGGCGGTGCCCCGCGGGACGCAGAGCCTCGGGGGCTTCGGCCTTTCGGAGGTGACTTTGGGCGACGTTTCTTCCTCTGGCCTCAACATTTGGGTTCGGTGCCGCTCGGAGCCCGGATCGCCTGGAGGACAGCGGGCAGCTCGTCCCCCCCGTCGGACTCACCTCCTGCCGGGGTAAAACCGGACTCTCCGCGCTCCTATCAATCAGAGCTGATTGTAACCCAGCGCGCAACGTAACGCCCTCCGCTCTCCACATGCCTTTTCTTTGGAGTAACATATGAGATTATTATACTTCTGATTCTACTAAATATATATTTTTTTTTCTTGAAGTTAAGGGACTGGCAGGGCTCCACGATCAATCGGATTTTTAAACTGTGTTTTGACATTAGTTCGGTTTTTTTTTTTTGTTTTGTTTTTTTTTGTTTTGTTTTGTTTTTTTAAAAACGTGCTGATTATATCAATAAACAGATTTTTTTTTCATACACTGTATTTGTAACTTATGATCATAGTAAAATATTAAAAGGTGCAAGACGTGAATTCGTCTAAGAACAAAGTGCTTACTTATGCCTTATTCTGTACGTGCAGGAAGTGCTTTAGAGTCTTAGATTATTAAAACTGTGTACTGAAAGTGGGAACGTAGGCATCTCAGGATTCTTTACCTCGTAGATTTTTAAGGACTGTTCTCACTGCACCGATGGCATGAATATTCTGCAGGATGTAGACGAACAGCTCTCATTAGTCATAAATCGGCCATATTCAGCAGGCCAAAATATATATTAAAAAAAAAAGCTCACCCCCAAAATGACAGCAACGGATTCTCCGCAGTTTTCGTCCTTACGTATGTCTTTATTAAGCAGAATATAGAGGTGATAGCCATGCTTAGTGCTTCAGCAAACAGAATGGTCAAAGAAATATGTTGGTGGACTCTACAACTCAAAGCAGTTTTGAGAAGGCTGTTTGCGACTTACAGAGACATACGTTGCTTCTTTATAGATCAAAGCAACCTCAGAATAGCTTCAAAATAAATCCAGTTATACTACAGCTGTAATATTATTATGCAGCATAAATCCTCTTCTGTTGACATTTACTTAATGAATGCTGCTACAACAGCTTAGCTAGATGGCACTCCAGAGGCGAGGCGGTGGAGAACCTTGCCAGGCTGCTCACAAAGGTACCTTGTGTTTATTGGGAGCTAATAGAAATAATTAGCGGTAAGGTGGCCTTTTTAGCGTTTTTTAAAGCAAAGCAAAAGAATATCGGCACATGATACGAAACGACCCTCTGAAATAAACTAACTTAGCCGCTGTAAGATGTTAATATTAATTACACTTTAAATGAAGGTGATCGATACGCTGAAAAGCACCTTGTTACATGGCTGCCCTGCAAATGGTACATCGCTCACCCCCCGAAGATGGTCTATAACTTTTCTCGTAGGCATGGGTCTAAAATATTCATGCAAATCAATACTTAATAAATCTCATAGGTGCGCGCTGGCTCCACTGTTGAACAATGTATTGAGATCGATTTTTTTTTTTTTCTTTTATACTGCATTACTTTGGGAGAGGCTGTCTGCACCCTTGCAGTGTGTCGGTCGGGGCGCACATCCTGCGCCGTGCATCGATCGGGGCCGCGCTCCTGCAGTAGCGCTGCCGGGCTCCGGTGCCTCCGGCTACAGCCGGGCAACGCCACTGCTTCCCCCAGTCCAAAGAGCCCAACTGTACGGCGGAATTCTTAGTGCTTCATTTAACTGGCCTGAGGTTCTCAACACCTCTTGCCGATCCTACGTTTCAATTTCTGTGTATTGAAATATACGCATAGCTATGTGTGACTTATGAAAATCTAGTCTTAAGAAGAAATCATAAAGCCC